CCCCAAAACCCCAAAACCCCAAAACCCCAAAACCCCAAAACCCCAAAACCCCATGAGTAAGATCATGAGTTGAGGACTTTTATATAATAAATAATCTTTTCAAATATGGTAAGTTAATGTTTTGCTTAGTTCTTATTTTTAGATTCCCCAGTATAATTATATGGTACAACCTCCCGCTGAAATGATCGTTCCTCAACCAGGGAGTAAAATGGCAAAGTACAAGACCTCTTTGTGCAAACATTTTGAGCAAACAGGGACTTGACAGATGGATAGTAGATGACATTTTGCCCATGGGAAACACGAACTAAGAAAGCAAACTGACGTAAGTAGATCTATCCTCCATTGGCATAGAGATTGTTTTGCTAACTTGTATATAGGCCCTTCCTTCCCATGTATTTAAGCTGTACCAGACACCAGTTAATACAGTTGCTCCTCCAGGTTATGTTCATAATAAATATAAGACAGTTCCTTGCAAGAACTTTCTTGAAGGTAGGTTTTAGGTAATCAAAAATAGGTCTGCATTGTAAATACGGTGATAGATGTACTTTTGCTCATGGTGACCAAGACATGAGAGCTAAATTTGTGAAGGCCGAGTTGCTATACTCACCTGGAGCCTATCCAGGTTCAGCTGATCCCTCACAAATCCAAACCATGCCTCCTACTTCAGGCTTTGGGACTGTTGATTACTCAGTGTTTTCACAGCCCCCTCCATTAGCACCACCTATGGATCATGCTCAGGCTCCTACCAAGGTAGTATCTGAAGCAGCAGAAGAAGCGAAAGCCAAGGGAGCTTCAGACTATGGAAGTGACTTTCAGATTCCTGCTTTTGACGGGAATAACTTCCAAGATGAAGAAAACAATTTCTTCAATTCATTTAACTACAACAACAATGGATTTGGCATTGGTGGATATTCTGGTGTAGATGAGTCTCCCACTTCTGGAGACTATTTCTCCAAGCAGACAGGTCCTAGAAATACCTCAAAGTTTGATTTCTGTTACGATTACACAGACAACTCTCCTAAAGAGACTTCCTTAGTTACTCAAATGATGAATTTGAAGGTGAGCCCAGATCCTCTCTCTGACAGAATTGAAGATCTCGAGCTCACTTCAGACAATAAAGACATAATCCAAAAGTTTTCCCAGGCAAAGTACCAAATAGAGATGGGAAACATTGAAGAAGGGAATAAAATCCTCAATCAGATGATGGAGAGCAAGGAGATAGCATTCAAGAAGTACTCTGAGATAGACCAAGATATTTTGAAGACCTTTGCCCCAATCTCCGATTAAAATAATAAGCGCAGCTTTCTTTAGGCTGCATAAATAATAAGCTAAACTATGAGGAGTTGGGATAATATATCTAAATCTAAGTTTAACATCAATTGTGAGCTCCCCCTCCGGGGTTTTGGGGTTTTGGGGTTTTGGGGTTTTGGGGTTTTGGGG